CATCCATTTTATTCAGACATAAGATGCTTTATTAGCCAAGTCTCCCCTGCTCTGCTTTGATATTTTGAGCCCAGTGGAGTATGACTGATCACCGCTCCCAGCATACATCTGTGGGCAGATTTTCGCTTGCACACACAGTACATACATCTTTGATCAAGACCAGCTGAGAACACTGGCTTACATTGGTGGACTTTGCATAATTCTGAACCTTGGCTATTCTAGCAAGGCTAAGGGGCTTATACTACTTTCTAGATGTTTTTTGCTCATGGAACTAATTCAATATAAATTTGCATAAGGGAAGTAGAATTAAAACAACTAAAATAATTTCTGTTCCTTTTTGATTATAGCAAAACAGACTGAACATCAAGTATGGTTTCTAAATTCTAAGCTTATGATCACAGACGGGAGCCATGAACCATGAATGCCAAGCAAACAGAGACCAAGTTAAATGTCAGAGTCAAATAAAATATACATCAAATTTAATTATACATATTTAATGATATGCATAATCACAGTAATTGCCCAACTAGATGAGAGGAGGGGCCAAAGACAAATTTCACCAGCTTCACAAATCAGCTGGGCCTGATGGCCACCCATCCTCTTTAATCCTACTCCAACTTCCCAAAGGGAAGACCCATACCAGACCAGGAGGCCACAAATACTCATTTACTCTCTGTATTCCTTCCACAGGCCAGAAGAAAGGGCTGGACATGTGAAGTCAAGAAAGGTCTCCATGCAAGATTCCTGCTCAGACTCTCAAATAAGCTATTCAGAGCTACCAGAAGCGTGCCTGTTTACCAGCATAACTGCAGCACCAAGCATAGAGTTAGTACCAATGTGTTAAAAGGATGATCCCCAAGACGATTGGGTGCTTGTGTCATGAGATGAGGAAGAAGATTGGCATGGCAATGTGAAAGAGTCTCAGAAATTCATCCCTCGTGCATATTGGCTAGTTGGTTTGCTTTCCTAACATCTACTAACCAAAGAAATGGGAGCTTTAAGGGATATGAAGGTACTGGGTTTCTATAGAAAGAGGGAGAGCAAACAAGAAAAGGGGCTGCCCACAAATTCCCCACTTCCTCACAATACTTGTGTCAAGGACAGGCCCTATTCCTTCCTCCTCCTTCTAGAACCTTTTCATCCTGTCCCATCACCTGCCCAAATCCATTCAGTGTTGGGCAAACCAGCAGTGGGAATAAGTAAGATACCTGTAAAGGTCTGGCCTTAGGATTCCACTCCTAGGGAAGAGCCCAGGATTGTTCTCAGGATTGTTTTTGTTTTGACTGGGAGGGGGTGGGGTATAAGACTGTTTATAACTTGCTTAGAATCTTTGCTTGCTGTAAACTACACCCAAGAGAAATTTTAGGATGCATTCCAAAATGGGAATACATAAAACTTTCCATCCAACTGTAATCATTCAGGAAAATGAGAGAACTTCTATCCCATTTGTGTTATAAATAACCCACTGAGGTTCTTTTCTAAAAACAAACAATGGTGTCATTTCTGCCAATTTATATCGAAAATTTGGTCCTGTTCAACTGTCGGTGCAAATTAAGATCAATTAATACTGCTCTCCTATCTGCTTTTGAATGTCTTATAATTGCCACAAATAATCATGTCTTTATATATTACACAGGGCAAGTGTTGATCTAATCAAAGGGGTAATTTCATTATCAGAAATTTGTGAAGTCTTCTTGGGGACAGAAAATCTTTTTGTTGGACAACAGAAATAATGGCCCTGACATGGCTTTCCTGGAAAATGAAAATAATGTATGCAGTTTATTACTTACATAGAAAGAAGGTTTTAGGATAATTATTCTCAGAGTTACCATACTATGAAGGATTAATGATAACTCATAAAAATACTGTAAAACACCACACATTATTAGACTATGATAAAAAAACTTCGTAATAAAAGTTCATATCTCCAATTATGACATGGTTTTCATAGAGAAAACCCATTAAAGACAGCTGTGTCTTAAGTACATTTTGAAAGACAGGCTCATAATGGGTAGTTATGGTAGTAAGCCTTTACATTGCCGCTGATTACTACACACACACACACACACACACACTCTTTTTGTGAAGAGCCTTCTTATGTGGGATCTAAACACAAAGTCATACTTGCTAATAGGTCTACATCAACTTCCATGGCAATGCTGCTGTTAGGAGGCAGAAGTGATACAGCCTTAGATCTTAACCAATTCCTACCACACCTTTGCTTGGTGTTTAACAGCCTTGTGGTGGTGGGGCTTTGACATGTAATCAATGGCAGCATGGTGTGGTAGAATAAACACTTTCTTTGAAATCAGGATGCATGAAATCTTGCTTCATGGTCTCACTTCTTACGCTGTCCAGAGCTATGATTCTGGACAAACCAGTTAATACCTCTGTGGTTTGGTTCACTCATCTATAAGATAAGGGGTTGCTCCTTGGCCACTTGGGATTCTACATCAAAATCCATATGATAGAGGAAGCCATGACTTCCTAACTCATCCTATTGAACTGTGTAGTTTAAAAATATGTCCACAAATTCTTTGACACTCCTCCCTTTAAAAGGTGGCATCTACTTTGTCCCTTTGTATTTTGTGACTGCCTCCATGAATTGGTGTCTCCTAAGGATAGATCAAGAAAAGCGACATGGTCTCTCTGTCTCTGTCTCTCTCTTTTCCACTCTCTTCCAGGGTAGATGCCTTTGGATACCTGAACCACCATGTAAGATATCCAGCTACCACACAAAAAAACAACACAGAGACAGAGAGAGGCCCAAGGAACGTCAGCTGTTTGTCTTCCAGCCCAGAAGAAGTGACTGATGTATGAGTGAAGACTCCTTGACTGCAACCTCATAGGATACCTTTTACTAGAACTACTCAGCTGAATCTCTCCTGAATTCCTATCCACAGAACCAGTGAGAGATAATAAATGATTATCGTTATTTTAAACTACTAAATTTCGGGGTCATTTGTTATGCAACCACAATAACTGAAAGAGGAACTATGATGGAATCAGAACAAAAGGACAAAAAAAAATGACACCTAGCCCCAAGATCAAACAATGAAATCTTTAGCATTCACAACCACCTCAGGAAAGAAGACAGACGTCTTCAAAAAAGATGACATAGAATTCAGGAAAAGCTTTAGAAACAAGAGAATAAGTTTTTTTTTTCTTCTCATCTTAAGGTACAGAACACGTCTGTCATCAAGATTACTGAATTATAAGTTCTAGAGCTCCGTGTTCAAAAGGCAAAGTCTCAAACATAATGAAGTGGTCAGACCATTGCAACAGGGAAAACCTCAAATTTTAACCTTGCTATTGAAGACTCTAAGATCAAAAGGTTAGAAAATGGAAGTGAGAAAGTTTTTTTTAAAAAAGCTAAGAATAGCCTAAATAATAATAAGATTAAAAGGATGGATAAACATTAAAAATAAAGAATTATGGGCCAGCCCGGTGGCGCACTGGATAAGTGCGCCGCTTGGGAAGCGCAGCGGCGCTCCCGCCCGAGGGTTCGGATCCCACATACAGACCGGTTCCCGCTCACTGGCTGAGTGAGGTGCGGGAGCAACGCCGAGGGTTGCGATCCCGTTGCCGGTCCCCGGTCCGGTACGGGGGCAACACTGAGGGTTGCGATCCATTGCCAGACATGGAAAAAGACAAAAAAAGGAAAAAAAAAAAAAGATGACAGGAGGTACAGTTCACCAATACATGCAATGAGAAACGCTAGAATAATCAATTTGTTATTTCCAAACTGGGTGAACTTCATGAGAATTTTCCACATTCATAGTTAAAAGAAGTATAGTAAGACTGGCCCTAAGCAGAACCATTTAAAACAGCAACAAAGTACAGGAAAGAGCTGGGGCACTTCAGTCATTTCTAGGTGGGCGCCAACACCATTGCTCGTTGCTCACTACTTTTCTACATCATGTCTTAGTGGACCTTGCAGTTGATGCATTGCAAATGTTTCCCCAAACACATTTCTGAATAACTGAAAGGTAGGACTTCTCCTTTTAAAGGGACAAGGAAAAGAGTAGGAGTCCAACCAGGAAAGGTGACATCTATCATTGGATGAGAGACAGTGGGTTTGGGGTACTCATGCACCAGGTGAAGATGAGCAAGGGTGATGCCCAGGAGAGGGCAAATGGTGGCCTGCAGGCAGGATGCAGCCACAAACCCATATCCTGCCACCCCATCCCCTGGCCCATCCAGTGTTTTCAAAACAGGAAATTTCACGTAAATAGTTTAGACCTTTATCTTCTCTCAAAATCCCGGACATCTAGCAACTCTGGCTAAGCATTCCCACCTGGTCTCAATCAGCTGGTGCTGACTAGCTGTTTCTCCCTTTGCACAGAACATGTGCTGTCTATTTGCCACACTCCCGGTCACTCTCCATTGTTTCATACCTGAGCTCACTCACTTGTTAACTTTACATTTGAGTTTGTGTTATGATCTAGACCAACAGAGGAATTTCAGACTCCAAACCCCCAAGTGTCTCTTGATCACTATAGGTTTGAAATTTTTGGTGGTTTGGAAATTACAATAAATACTGCAGTTGTGACCTTGCCAATGTCTTTCTCTAAACTACAAATGTGGCATCATGACAAATCCATATACCTCATGGTTATGTTAGTCATCTTACAACACTGATATTGAATATTGGAGTGCTAAATTTGTCTCCAGAAATATATACTGAGATTATTTGATACATCCTAATTATCTTTAAAATACAGACTGTGTCCATACACAGATCTAACATTCCCAGACCAAATAAGTGCAGAAAAGAGACAACAGTCATTCAGCTCTGAGATTAGGATGAACAGAAGTGGAATAAAGAGATCTACATATCATGAAGTATAACAATTTAATCACTTACCACAGAATATCTTCAAAGCTATTTCTAGTGGCGACTTAAGTAGGCAATGAAGGCATTTGTTGAGGGTTTAAGACCAGCATTTTCAAGTATGGGGCAGGAGAGGCATTAGAGAAAACAAGACGAGACAACTCACCAATTCCAGACATTGTCTGTGGCCATAGGCAGCAGCATAATGTATGCTGTTGTAACCCTCCTTGTCCCGGATGGATGGATTTGCATCATTCTGAAGCAGAAACTCTAGACATCTGTAAATACAAAGATCAGGTGTTATTTTAGAAAACATCTCTGAACCAAAAGGGATAATTAATGTAAGTTCTCCTACTATGAATGTTCCACAAAGCACTTTATGAATTTAAGTGTTTCTTTAAATATCCTACAGCAATGAACTTTTCATGTGCTGAAAGTTTGTGTTTTGTGTTCTAGAGCTATCTTTATTTCACCTTAAACTAGCCATTCTAGAATTCAGGAAAAGCTTTAGAAACAAGAGAATAAGTTTTTTTTTTCTTCTCATCTTAAGGTACAGAACACGTCTGTCATCAAGATTACTGAATTATAAGTTCTAGAGCTCCGTGTTCAAAAGGCAAAGTCTCAAACATAATGAAGTGGTCAGACCATTGCAACAGGGAAAACCTCAAATTTTAACCTTGCTATTGAAGACTCTAAGATCAAAAGGTTAGAAAATGGAAGTGAGAAAGTTTTTTTTAAAAAAGCTAAGAATAGCCTAAATAATAATAAGATTAAAAGGATGGATAAACATTAAAAATAAAGAATTATGGGCCAGCCCGGTGGCGCACTGGATAAGTGCGCCGCTTGGGAAGCGCAGCGGCGCTCCCGCCCGAGGGTTCGGATCCCACATACAGACCGGTTCCCGCTCACTGGCTGAGCGAGGCGCGGGAGCGACCCCGAGGGTTGCGATCCCGTTGCCGGTCCCCGGTCCGGTACGGGGACAACACTGAGGGTTGTGATGCGTTGCCGGACACGGAAAAAGACAAAAAAAAAAAAAAAGAATTAATTCAGTCACTACATACAAAGAAAGAAGCTTAAATTGTACCATTAGGAATACAGACTATAAAAAAATAAATTTTAAAAGCCCTTTCAGACAGAGATGTAATTTTTCTGAAAAGGCCACAGTCTTTGGAATAGGTTAGAGGAAAGAGTGTGGCTCCACCTTTGTTGAAGAGCCCAAAACTCCAGGACACTTGGGAATGTAATGAATTATGTTCAGTGCCTGTTGCAAATGGTCCAATCCTGCTGGTAAAACAGAGGATAACCAGGCAGGTAGCAATGCTCCATAATTTCAGTATTCTTTCTGTGACAGTGGGACAGGCATGTCTTTTACAAGGCCAAGCTCATTCGATTCCATGCGCAAATCAAAATTTTAAGATTCTAAATATAAATCTACACATTAAATGATACCTTCCAATGGAAAATTTCTATAGTTTACAAAAAAAGTTTTAAATGGCATTTACCTATTTTGGGGGTATAAGGCACAAGGAATAAATAAATCACGCATAGAGACAATTAGAACAGATACTTCAATTTCTGGAACAACTGATGAAAGACATAAAATTTTTAAACCAAATACCTACGTTTCACATGATTTATCCATAAAATGCTCCATTATAAATCAAACTACTATTAGAGTCCTACTTCCATGTTGTCTCTGGTCATTTATACCTTGTAAGGAAGTCCTTCTTATTTTGGTAATTAAATGTCCATGGGCAGAATCCCAGATGTGACTCATTTTAAACTGAATTTGGTTCTTTAAATAAAATTATTCAATAGGAATAGCATTCCAGTGGACACACAATCCCCAACTTCTGAATGAATTGTATTTTAAAAATCAGTTGATAAATTGAATTTTTAATTGGGAAAACACTTGGAATTGCTCCCAAAGAGTTATTTAACCCAGAATATAGCTGAACTACACCAACAGTACTATTATAACAACAGTGCTGTAGAATTTGGATACTCTCCACATTGTTTCTAAGGAAAACATGAATTTCACATTTAAACTGTGAATGCTTATCTTTTCTTGTCCCAGGATCCTGACTAGCAATTTGGGCACTTAAGATGCAAAATGAACAGATGCACATTAGGTCAGGGGTGTATTTGGACAAAGGAGCGGCCTCCCTTTCCACAAAAGAGTTCTCAGGCAGGCTGGATCCCTGCCCTTCCCCACCCCTCATGTTTGCTTCCTCTCCACCAGCTGTAAACGGGCTGGTCTAGCCCAGTGAAGCTGGCAGTTCACTGGAACAGGCGGCATTTTCTGAGGTGGCTTAAAATTCTAGTCTTTTTTTTTTTTTTTTCCTTTTTGTCTTTTTTTTTTTTTTTCCATGTCCGGCAACGGATTGCAACCCTCAGTGTCGCACCCGTACCAGACCGGGGACCGGCAACGGGACCGCAACCCTCGGTGTTGTTCCCACACCTCGCTCAGCCAGTGAGCGGGAACCGGTCTGCATGTGGGATCCGAACCCTCGGTGGGAGCGCCACCACGCTCCCAAGCGGCACACTGCAGCAGTGCGCCACCGGGCCGGCCCAAAATTCTAGTCTTTTAATATCAGTATTTAAAATTTTGGAGTATTAGGGCAAAACTTTGGTGATTCTGCTTCATAAACAGCTGTTTCCTGACCCTACAAAGTTATGTCCTATAGCCCGCACCAGGGCCACACTCTCTAACTGTACTCTTTCATAACAGTCTGGACCTAGGGGGTGCCCAGTGTAAGGTGGGAAGACCCCAGAGTGGACCCAAGCATTCAGATCACAGAGAAACTGGTTCTTGTGGCAACTGGGTATCTGCAGACTTGCAGAGCACTACACCCACTGGCTCCCACAGGATGATGGCGCACACAGTGTGGGCACCAGTTTGTTCATTTATTCCACAAATAGTTATTGCACACTAACTACATGCCAGGCACTGCCCTGGGCAGGGTAAGCTTCCCATTGACACTCAGGTGCAGAAAGGACTCTCCAAGGACGAGGCATTAGCTCTTCCCATGTGTCAACACCTTTGGGTGGTGGCAGGACTCCAGCCCCTTTCACAGCACAGCCAAGTCTCTGTCAGAAGTCACAGAGAGGCAGGTGGGGGAGGTGGGCACAGAGAGGCAGTTGGGGGAGGTGGGCACAGAGCAGCTCTTTGCAGGGAGCAGGGGCTCTTTGTAAGTTGATGGGTGTGTGGTGGGGGATGAGGGGAAGGTACAACTAGTATATTTCACATCAAACCTCATGACCTTTATCTATAGAATCTGCTAAATAGTTATCCTCAGGCCATAAAGTTAGAACCTAAGGCCTTGAGAGGAGGCTTAATATGCCCCCAAGGTGAATGATACATGGCAGTCAGAAATAATATTTAGAACACCCGGTCCACTGATGGTCTAAGAAAAACTTAAAATTTTAGAAAGAGTTCCTTGTGTGAAAACAGCAAGAATGAAGGAGGTATTAAGTGAACAGTTTCTTTTCCATTAAAGGCAAGCCCACATCACTTCCTCAAGATCCCAAGTGAAGTCCCAGATAGTAAGGCAAGCACACGAGGCGACCCAGAGAAGCAGACAGAACAGCAGAATACACCTGCTCCTCTGCCAAGAAGAAACTTACAGAGCCGCTTCCTTTTCTTTCAGCTCCCTGGCTCTGTCAAGTTCTTCGGAATTTTCATGGGTATTTCCTAGGATAGTCTTACTTCTCCACATAAGGGACAGAAAAAAAAATTGCAATGAATATTTTTGATGACTCAGTTGTTAATAGTTTGGGTGCAATTTATATCTCAACGATCTTACTGCAACTCAAAAGAAACAGGCACCACTGGTCTTCACTGAGGACATACATGGTTCTTTCCAAGGACATTCCATAAATCTATTCTCTTCCAAGGAGCCCAAGTGAGAACATGACTTTCCTAACACATCCACCTAGGTATTGGTGATTAAGGCATCTTAAACTCCCATGGTAAGAAGGAGGCAACTTAGCTCAAACTTCTCTGACTCCTCTGACAGTCTGTGTTCCCTCCTTGCCAGTTCAGCATCTCTTTTACCCAGGAAAGGGTCCTAATCACCCATCATCTGCCAGAACAATCCTTCATCATCCAGGATTCCTCTTCTGGATCTTAACAGATGCAACATACGTATCCCCCACCCCTTCCACCACCTCTACTCTATTCCAAGTGAACAGCATTGAGCCTGGCACATAGTAGATGCTCAATAAATATCTGTTGAATTAATAACCTGCATGGCTATAGAATCCTGAGTGCTCCAACTGATATTATTACTATATAATAAAAATAATATTTACATAATGAAACACATAATAAAATTTTAATATAAATAAATGTAAATATGAAGAGAAAAATAAGAAATGTTTTTCAGACTATGTATCTTAACCCATTACTAAATTGTGAAATCAATTTAGTGGGTTGTAGTCAGCAATTTCTTTTAATAAAATAGTAGAGAAAATATCAGAATTCATCATACATAGTAAAAGTAAATACGGTTTATGAAATTTTATTTGTTTTACATACATATATATAAAACATACATATGTGAATGTGTGTACTGGGTCATGACATAAGATGTATTTCTTACTGTGGATCTAAAATATTTGAAAGCCATTGCTCTATGCAAGAAGCAGTTAGCACTGACCCAGAATCAATACCACAGCACAGGGCAGCAAATAATTCAATAGTTCTCCAAACAATGTCACCAAAAAATATTCCTATGAAGGAGGTCCTGCCTTAAGCCTTTGCAAACAATTTCATAAACTGGCTCACTTATTTCTGCTCTCCATTTGTAGCCAACACATCCAAACACATCCAGGGCAACCAACTTCCTCTCCTCCAGCTCTTGATGGAGCATTCATGCCCTGGTTTGGAACAACGCTGCCTATTTTACACATGTGGGTGCTGCATTTGAAGGCTGTTGGGATTATGCATAGGTTTCTATTTTTGACATATGGCATATATATTAGCAAATGTAAGTTTTGCAGCAAATGAAGCATTTAAGTGGTGATGATGAAAATTACAATTTATGTCAAAATAAGTTACAACAGTTGAATAACTGAAAACCTGGGCTTGACAGCTCCACTTGACATTCAACCCAAAGAATAGAGAAGAGGAGTAATTGTGCAGTGACATGTCATAATCAAACATGAATGGGAAAACCCAGTTAAGGCTGAAGCAATTCTAACTCCTTTGGGTCTGGATGAGAGAGATTCCTCTTTTGCTGTTTCCATGAACCAGTGTAAAACTTAGCAGAACACCCCCCCCCACCAGCCCTACCCCCAGAGAAAGCATGAGCAAGGCTGTTTTTACTTTCTATCCATGTCTGATGCCGCAGCATAGTGCAAAGCTGTCCGTCCCCAGTCATCTGTTTCATTAACGTTGGCTCCCGTGGCCACTAATGTCTCAATACAGTGGAAATGACAATTCGCAGCTGCATAGTGCAAAGGGGTCCTGAAAAACAAACAGTGGTTTATTACTGTGTATTACTTCATTCAGTCTGGAACACAGATCCATCATTGGCACTAGCTCTGACAGCAGTATTCCCAGGGGTATGGAAAGCTCTTTGGCTTTGTGGAAGCCATGGGCTGTGTCTTCCTTTGACCACATGTATTGGAACTGAGGCTACAAAGACAGTGGCTTCAGACAAGGCCACCCATTGCAGAACTATCCTTTCTTCCCATTCCTAGTGCCTATCCTGGTTTAGGTCTACATTATTGCTTGTTTGGACTATTGCAAGACCTCCACCCCCATTAAGACCACCCTTAGCTCTAACCTTAAGTGGTATGAATGAAGAACTGGGTTTTCCAAGGTACAACACCTGCATATGATAATTCTCTTCTAAAACTTTCTGTCCTCCCCAGTGAACAAATGCTTGATTTTTTAGCCTAGAATTGAAGACCTTCCCAAGCTGGTCCCAATCTCCTTTTACAGAGTATCTCTCTCCCCTGGATGTACCCATTATTGAATGATTTGAAGTTTTTCCAATCATGTCCACACTGCCCTCCACATTTGCCCATGTTCTTTCTCTCCAGGAGTACCGTTTCCTGAACCACTTCCACCCATCGAAATCACACTCATCCTTCATTTTTCAGAAGTTATTTCTTTTTTTTTTGCTTTTATTATTATTTTTAATTGACACATAATAATTGTACATATTTATGAGGTACTGTGTGATATTTCAATTCATGTATTCAATGCTTAATGACCAAATTAGTGTAATTAGCATATCCATCACCTCAAACATTTATCATTTCTTTGTATTGGAAACATTCAAATTCCTCTCTTCTATTAGAAAATATACAATAAATTGTTGTTATTTATAGGCACCCTGCAGTGCTATAGAACATTAGAACTCACTCCTCCTATGTAGCTGTAATTTTGTATCCATTAGTCAACTTCACACCACCCCCCTCACCCCCTACCCTTGTCAGCCTCCAGTAACCACTACTCTACTCTCTGCTTCTATGAGATCAACTCTCTTAGCTTCCAAGCATGAGTGAGAACATGGGATACTTCTCTTTCTGTGCCTGGCCTACGTCACTTGACATAATTACCTTTCTTTTGTCTAAGATTGCTTAGCTACTGTCTGGGTCTCTCTTGAGCTCTTATCACATATTGCCTTAGTTTTAGCTATTGGTGTACTGTCTCATCTTCTCCACTGAACTGGTAAGCTCCTTGAGAGTAAGGATATAGGTTAATGGGAAGAACAACGCATACAAAATCAAAAGCCCAGGTTCTTGTCTTGGCAGATCTGCAAGCTGGGCCAAATCATGCCCTCTCTCCGGGCCTGGGCTTCTTCATCCTTATTTCAATACAGACATTTGAGCAACTGTCCCTTAAGGCCCTTTCAAGATCTAAAATTCTGGGTACCTGAGTAAATCATTTAGATTATCTGGGCTCAGCTTTTCCATTTATTAAAAAGGATGATATGCACCCTCATACGCCTCATAGAGTTACTATGAGAAACCAAGAACCTTGTAAAGGGCAAGATTGCAGAAATGCGAAGCCATTTGCTTTACATTACTTATTTTTAGTTCTCAATTATTTAAGTTTTTCTGGTGTGACTAGCCAATATTCAGACAATAATAATCAAATAGAATACTAGAAATAAACTAACTTTATTTCAATAATTATCAGTCTTCAAGTACAACTATTTTATATTTTGAAATCAATTTATGGGCTCTTTTACTAGTTGATTTTCTCTTTAGTTCAAAAGAAGGAAACTATAAGTATTTTACATATTGGATTGCTCATGTTTTAACTAATTAGACTGAAAACTATTAGATATCAACCACATGACAGGGCCCAAATATAAAGAGAAAGTGACACTCAGTCCTTGTCCTCAGGAGATTCACAGTCAGGTGGGAGAGAGACAAGGAAACAGAGTCCATGAGAACATTATGATGTGTGCGGCTGTTGTGGAACGTGTAGGGTGCTAGGGGGGCAGAGAGAGGTGCACTCCCATCAGAGAGCAAGGAGGTGTCACTTGACGGGAACCTGGAAGGATGAATAGGAGTTGTCTTAGGTAGGTTGGTGAGAGAAGAAATTTGTAGCAACCCCAAAAAGCCAGGGTGCACGTGGAGAGGAGCGGTGAAGAGATGCTATAGGGAAAAAAATATATATATATATATTTATATACATATACACACATAAAAATATATATACAAAGGATCATTAAGGTAAGAAAAATTCTACGACCCATGGGTAGGGTGTGTGTGTGCGCATGTGTGTGTTTTTGATATTTTAAACATGTATAAAAATTTATAACATAATAATAAAATGCTCTAGATCTTATGACCAGATTCTGGGTTAGGAGGGCTAAAGTGTTCTACTCTGCTACAAACAGAATTTTCTAAACTATGCCCATGTGAGAGATTTTTCAAAAATTTAAAGGAGAAGAGAAACCAGTGGCACTTCTATACCGAAGCTGTGAGAGAAGATACTTTCCTCGTGGCTTGTGCTTGCTTTGTTGGCATTTCCCTCCAAGAAGGGATTTCCTTCTGAAGATGGAATCCACCCCACTAGCTTCCCTGTTTACCATTTCAGCATAACATGATTACTAGACTATTCCCCACTACTCCTTTTATTTAGGCACTTGAAGCAGAGCTCTCTGATTACATACCTCCCACACTTGTCCTTTTTATGGAAATCCGCTCCACTGCTCTGCAAGAGTTTAATACATTCCACATTACTAGAAAGACAGGGAAAACATCATTAAGATGGTAGAAATCAATTCCTGAGCTACCTTCAGAAAGAGCTGTTTTCTGCAGAGTGCAGGACAAAATGAAATGGTAGCTCCAGGTTTAAATTCTTTTATCAAAAAATAACCTGAACATATTGGAGCAATGCCATATTGTAAGGACCTAAAGTTCCCAAAGTTCCTTTTTCACAGCAAATAGAGCAATAAATAAAAGAGCTAGGTGGAACATTTTCAATTCCATGACTTAGGAATTTAATGATTATTACGTGATTAAACCCTCCAGTGATGGTTTCATCGTTTATCCTAAAGTTCTTCAAAATCATCAAGAGTTTTTAAAACAACCACTTCAACCTATTATAATTTCATGTCACCTTTAAACAATGAGCCAGAATGGATGAGCATTACCTTTTATCACAGGAGAATGAATTCACCATGATAACCACTTTCAACCTAGATACTCCTTAATGGAAAATGAAACAGCTGCATTTCCCTGTCTTTGTAATCTAGGTAAATAAATGTGCAGAACCAAGGCCGAAAACGATGTAATGGAGCACAGTGATCTTCGAAAGCTTCTTTGTCATTTGCAGAAGCAATAAATCATGTTTAGTAGAGAGAAAAGGACCCACTGAAGTGAATTTTCCTATTGAAGGGCATATAGCTAAATATTAATTTTAATAGGATTCTCAGTCATGAATCCAGAATGGTGTGTTGCCACTTTCTGAACAGGTCTGATATTTTTAAAAATGTGGGCATAAAAAGAGACAATCATTCATTGTTCTAAACTTGGGTTGCTAAGAAGTGGCCCAGAATTTATTGTTTTATTATAATTTAAATAAGAAAAATGATCTCATTAATGACAAACCTGAGCAGGGCTCTCCCCACCCCACATTCACCCTTTATAGTCACCTTTCTCAGAGGACTAGCTATTGCAGTCATAAAATATAAGAACTTTTAAAGATAAGTATGTGTTGGTGTAGCATGCCAGTTGATATAAAGCGCCTGTCTCTTAATGAAAGTTGCCAAAGGATCAAAGGCAGATCCAAGTTGTGTGGCTTGTGAGGCTCATGCAATTTGGGGGCTGGGATGGGGGAAAGGGGGTCCTTTTAAAAATAATACAAAATTATAAATATGAAATTAGATATAAGACCTCAGGGACCCATGTAAATAGGGGCCTCAAAAGTTTTACGTTCAATCCACCTCTGATAAATAGGTAATGCCTTTGGTAATATGCATGTGACAAATGGAAAAGCATTGCTGTTCCTCAAGGACCAGGAAATTGATTAAGAACTAACACCTTACCCAAAGAGGTGCCATATTTAGTCAATGTGTGGTCATATATCAACATTGGATTGATCAGAGCTTTAATCTAATCACTGATATGAAAAAAGAGTAGGCGATGAAAAACTCTCTTTTCAACTAAAAAAAGGCAATGTGATTTAATAATCACTTTAATAAATGTAATACATTAATAAATTTATAAATAAACTTAATAGATTTAATAAAGTGATTTAATAATCACTTCTTGCCTATCCTTAGGGTTTTCTTGAACTTTGTTCACATTTAGTCATTATAAAGACTTAAAAACTAGTTTTGAAATAAGGACAAAATATCTATAAATGAACATGGATTAATTCAATCTTGGATTCTCTTGATCATCACCCACCTACAGCAACAAAAGAGGAAAAACTTAGGAACAAATTTCAAATTGTTTTCTTTTGGTGGAGGGGGTACCAAGTAGATACACATGCTATAGTCTGAAAATCTACAGTTAAAAAAAAAAAGGAAAGAGAGAGAAGAAAACAAAAGAAAAACTATATGATAAGGGCTAATAATTTTTCTTTGGAAGACCAAAATTCAAGTAATCTAGAAATGCAACACAGTGATATTTGATATTTGGGAGAAATGACTCTTACCCATTTTACTAAGGAAATTGCCTTTGATTCACAATCAACTTGAGTCAATTAAGATGAATTAGTAATTAAGTCATGATAACTAAAATTGCTAACTACTCACCCTCCTGCAGCAGCAGCATGAAGGCACGTTCTTCCAAATTTATCTGGGGTGTCTATTTCAAAGCCTGCAGACAGCACGTGCTCATTACTAAACAAGGATACTATGCTATACTTTTGTCCTAGTTAAACCACAAGAAACATTGCAGAGACAGAAAAATCAGTTAGTAGAAAAACCAGAACGCAAGCAATTGTAGTCAGAAAGAGGTTGTCATGGAAACGAATGGTAACTGCTCAAGCTTAGCAATTTTATAGGAAGAACCGTGAAGTCAAGGAGGATTTATTTTCACATTCAGCCCTGGGTGAACGACAGACCCATTTTTCAAACCCGGAATAGAAATTTATGAAACCAATTTGAGATAAGTAGGGCAACAGACAGGCAGACAGACACATGGAGAAAACATGGAAGGCAAAAGAGTAATCCTAACATGCTGGAATAGGTATTTTCTTAAGTGTATTCCAACCTTTTGGTTGGTTCAAGATTTGGGAAACATACTTTCATGCAGGGATTATTTTTAAACGTTTCAAAAGCAGTGGAAGCAGAATCAACCATAGGTAAAGTACTTTAAAAAAATGCCTCTGGGATATCTGATGAATTAATTCATAAACAATCTTTGTGTTGCAGACCTCTACCACTTTTGAAAGCCTGGAACTTCTTAATATATGGAGACTGCCGGAAGCAGTGATAAGAAAGATTAGCAAAGCTCCAAACCAGGGAGAATTTCTTGGTTTCAAATAGCCCCACGTTAAAAAAATAAAAATTAAACTTAGTTGGAGGGGATCAGCTGTGGTGAGTTTTCAATGCCCAGAGCGTGGGAAGGTAACACGACATTTTCTACTGCTAAACTGTAGAGGATGTGGCCTTTTTCTTTTGTTGAAAAATATTAAAGGTTAAGCCACTACTTTAAGCCTAAAGATGATTTCTTCTTCTAAGACTTAAACTTTCTATAAGCTCTGGCCATCCCTGCCTCTCCCTCACCCTGGATCACCCAAGCTTTAACTTGAAAAATAGACAAGACTTATTCTGGGGCAGATATTCAGACATTCAAACAGCTTCCACACCAAGCTGGGAGCTGTCACACGTAGTTAGCTGTGGGACACACTCCTCCTTGTCAAGTCAGGTAATGACATGAAGCCCAGTCAGCCATTCACTCTGCCCAGACACGGGAAGCCACGTGACTCACGTACAGGGCACACTAATCCTCATTTCTGGTAATGGATTTACTTACCCGATGATAACAACTTTCTGCAGCAGTCAGAGTGAGCATTTAGGGCAGCTAAATGTAAGGGGAACATGCTATGGATTCCACACCTAAGGAGGAAAAAACCAGATTAGCTCATGGTAACAGATCTCAAGATAGTGCAGAAGGACGATTACCTTCCTAGAAGTTCCCTGACGAAAATTAACACCTCGTGTAGGGATGCTTGGCTGAAATAATTTTATAATTCTTCCATTCAATAAATAATTATGCAATCATGTTTTACCTTAAAATAATAAAATCCCGGATCTAAACCAGAATTAAAGCCCCTAACCATAAGAATGTATATTTTAAAGAAAATCTGTTTCACATAAACAGTGACTCTTTAAATTTAAAATTAATTTTGGGCCGGCCCGGTGGCGCACTGGATAAGTGCGCCGCTTGGGAAGCGCGGCAGCGCTCCCGCCCGAGGGTTCGGATCCCACATACGGACCGGTTCCCGCTCACTGGCTGAGCGAGGCACAGGAGCAACACCGAGGGTTGCAATCCCGTTGCCGGTCCCCGGTCCGGTACGGGGGCAACACTGAGGGTTGCAATCCGTTGCCAGACACGGAAAAAGACAAAAGACAAAAAAAAAAAAATTTAAAATTAATTTTCCTTCAGCTTAGTGATCCTATGTCTCATGCATGCTTACATCTATCATTTATTTAACACTTTCTAAGCATCAGATACTATGCTAAGTGCCAGAGATAACAATGTTGAACACGATACTCTCAACTTTGAAAAGCAGTCTGTCTCATTCTTTGATTTAATAAATAAATACTCATTATTGACCTATTATGTGCCAAGCACTTTGCTAAAAGTTAATAGCGGCTGTATTATTGAAAATAAAATTTTCAATGAGAATAAAAACTAATGTTTACCTTTTAAAGGTGAAACTTCATCTTCCTAATAAACTTTAATGTTGCACAATAACCCACATCACAATACCAGTCACGAAAACACAGTTAGGAATAATAAACATTACTCTGCACCTATTTCATAGACCTAGCACTATTAAAGAAAGAATCTACAAAAGGACTTATTAGACTGACCCCACCATAACACAATCCCCAGGATGATCCCTTAAGGGACAGGCAGCCTTCTGACGGTGGCAAGTTTTGCCTTCAGAAGTAAATCCTCCTCCTCCCACCACCTCTCCTCAAACAAGGACCCACGATAGTGTGGTGAGTTGTAGTCATAACAGCATCATTGGGTGGCTCCTGTGTACTAATAAGCATTTACAATGTTAGTGATCACTTCTCAAAACATCTCATTTTAATCAAATAATACATTTCAGATTTTTAAAATCCTCTGCTTAACACAAGGAAGTATGGGACTATATCTATTTATACCCTGCAGCCTTAATTACATTAAGTTTCTTCTCTGGGACAAAGTGGCCCATTTTCAAATTCCACACTTCATATGGAAACACATATGATTCGTCAAGTTTCAGACACATGAATCTTATCTGCCATCTCAAAAGTTGATATTATTATATGTGTGTGAAGTGTGAAAGTATATACTTATTCACAGATATTTCATGGTATTCAGTGTTTTGCAAAATCCTAGTGTGCCAGCAATTAATCACTGTTCTCTCTTTCCATGATAACTCCTTTCTATTTACTGGTGTTTTTGTTCAGTCTTCCCTCTGTTCACTTCTCTTTCCCTACATGGAGATTTCCAACTTGGTGTATATAATAGCTGGCATCCATCAAGAGATGCAATTTGCCCGTCTACCGGGCAGTTTCATGTGGAGGAGAACTGCTTGTAATTGCCTCCCTCATCACTTACAAAAAAAATTCTGAAAAGCAATTCCATCAGTGACGACCTTGGCGCTCATGACAAGGAAGAAGGAGTCGGGGGATGGGAGAGAAGCTTTTCTATTTATGCTATTATTTATATTCTTCCCTCCTGATGCGAGAGAAACACCATTTTAAAAATATATATAACATTTTTAAAAGCTCCTTACTAAATGGAAATATAAACTAATGTTATTTTACCTAAGCATTTTATTTGTTTGGGGGAGTTAAGACAAAAATATACGATTAAATATCTCCGGACGTTTGGAAGAGGAAAATGGATAGAATATTTTCTAGGATGGTTTTAAGTTCCTGAAAGAACATGCCTAAAATCAAGGACTAGATTTCTCAAGATTTCTTTGAGTCTTCCTCATCCTTTTATATATGCATAAAAATATAAGTATATTTAATATATATTTTTTATTATATATATACTTATTTTATATATCCTTTTATATATGTAAATATATGTTTATATTTATATATTTATAATATTTATTTATTATAAATAAATAATATTAAAAATATATTTATTACATATTTTTATATATTTTATATATATATATATAAAGAAAGAATGAGGAAGGCTCAAAGAAATCTTTAGGGCCGGCCCGGTGGCGCACTGGAGAGTGCGCCGCCTGGGAGTGTGGTGGCGCTCCCGCCGAGGGTTCGGATCCCATGTGGAGACCGGTTCCCACTCACTGGTTGAGTGCGGTGCAGGCGCAACACTGAGGGTTGTGATCCCGTTGCCAGTCAGTAAAAAAGACAAAAAGGAAAAAAAAAAAAGAAATCTTTAGAAATCTAGTCCTTGACTTTAGCCATGTTCTTTCAGGAACTTAAAACCATCCTAGAAAATATTCTATCCATTAAACACACACACTCATATGTATATTTACACTCACACACATATATATACACACTATCTTTATACAATATAATACAAGCAAATGAATTAGAGAAAATAGCATTAAACTCTATAAGAAACCAATTTGGAAAGACAAAAAAAGTATAAGAGATAGTATAATAGCAACAGTATTGTAATATATTACATAAACTGTACTATCAATACTTCTAATCAACATTGTCTAACCAACCTTCTTTTTTTTTTTTTTTGTCTTTTTGTCTTTTTTTCCGTGTCCGGCAACGGATCGCAACCCTCAGTGTTGCCCCCGCACCGGACCGGGGACCGGCGACGGGATCGCAAGCCTCGGCGTTGCTCCCGCGCCTCGCTCAGCCAGTGAGCGGGAGCCGGTCTGTACGTGGGATCCGAACCCTTGGACGGGAGCGCTGCCGCGCTTCCCAAGCGGCGCACTATCCAGTGCGCCACCGGGCCGGCCCCCTAACCAACCTTCTAATCAACTTAACACCCCTGTCTTTAGAAAATTCATCATACTTTATATTAGGTAATTATTTCATTTTTTCACTGCTATTTATAAACTTCAGAAAAGAAATAGAAGTACTCCAACTTAAAAGGTTTAGTAAAAATTCTGTTTGACATATATTTTTTATTCCACAATTAGTAAAAAGACACCACTTGAGTGTACGTTTTGAAAACATATTAGTGTAGACTCAAGAACTATTGGCATTTGAACTTAAATATGATATTATAGTTCAAAGAGTAAAATATCAAGTCAAGATTGGAAAGAAAAAAGTAGAATTCAGAATCTCTGAATCACTTCAGAAATAATTCATGCATTTCAAAATAAAATGATCCTTTACTATTATAAAATAAGACTGCTTATTAAAAAAGAAGGCATACAAAACCTTTAGCAGGAACATTAGGACTTGGCTGTTTACATCAAGGAAGATCAAGAATAAAGATGTCAAATAACACTGAAGTTCACAATGCATAAGTTACAGGAAAGAGGAGACCAATTCCAATTAAATTGCTACATTTATTTGACTAGGCATTAAATTAATGGGACACATTTGTATTAGCTTTTTCTAATTTAGGTGTTTGCTGGCACCTCCTACCCATTAATTTCAGAATAAATGGGAGCTGAAAGACCATGCATCATAGAGAGCTATCAGAGGTGAAGAAAGGGCTTTTGCATCATTAAGAATATCAGTTCTGGGCCAAGCCCGTGGCGCACTCGGGAGAGTGCGGCGCTGGGAGTGCAGCAGCACTCCCGTCGCGGGTTCGGATCCTATGTAGGGATGACCAGTTCGCTCACAGCGCTCACTGGCTGGGCTGAGTGCAGTGCGGCTGGGCTCCAAAAGGGCAAAAAAAAAAAAAAAAAAAAAAACTCAAGTGA